TGTAGGGAATCGAACCCCATCATCCCTCAAAGGAAATGAGGACCACCTCCGTGGTGTAGTGGTTAGAGCATCCGCCTGGAGAGCAGGTTCAATCCTGACCGCATCATACCAAAAGACGTTAAAATATGGTACTTGTTGGTCCCTGCCTGGCGCTTGGCATTAATGGGTACAACAAGGACTTGTCGGCTCCGAGTCAGTATAATGGGTCTGAGTGGGGTGGGTATTCATGCTTCACTGCGGCATGGTATCTCAGTGGGCTAGTACTATAAAACCAGCTTAAGTCTGGGCTAGTACAAGCAGCCGCACATACACTTACACATGCATGCACGTCGTCATTTGAGCAAAATATTCTCAAGCACGACGTTAAAATCCAATTTCACCTCACCTCACCTCAAAGGAAATGAGACCCGTGAAGATCCCTGTAAGAATATTGATCTTCAGTAACCCATGCTTGTCATAAGAGGCTAGTAACGGGATCGGGTGGTAAGGCTCGCTGACTTGGTTGACACATGTCATCGGTTCCCAATTGTGCAGATAAATGCTCATACTGTTGATCATTGGATTGTCTGGTCCAGACTCCATTATTTACAGACCGCCGCCATATAGCTGGAATATTGCTGGGTGCGGCGTAAAACTAAACTCACTCACTCAAAGGAAATGAACCACCATCAACTGTGATGATACTCCAGTTCCAGGTTTCTTCTGAACGTATGTCACTATTGTAATGAAATAACATCAAGGGATATTTGCATAACTGCACATATGATTTTTATGAACCCAGGTGCAATAACCAACAGTATCATGAAAGTGTTAGGAAGTCAAACATGCTATAAGGTCGTCCAAGGTCGCTGTGATGTCGCTGGAATATTGCTGAAAGCGGCGTTAAACCAAACTCACTCACTCAATGTGTTCCCCATGTCCTCCATGCCATGATATTCATTCCGAGGTGAAACAATAAAATATATTATTTCATCTCAATTTTCCCGACATTTGTGAAAATTTATGGTCTGATGTGATAACAAAACCCAACTCTTACGCATGCACATACACAAAAACAGCTTGAGATTTCTTCACTACATTTACAAAAAGAATAATTCTAAAGTAAAAAACCCAACGTGATCTACATCATCAGCGTTCGAAATACCTGCCTGTCCGACCGCCCGGGACGGGTTATTTTCAACCCAGACTGCCAGATTTTAAATTCACCTGCCCGACGGTTGGGTTAAAATTTAAACATCCATATGAAGATATTTTATGGGCAGGTAAGTTTTGGTCAGGGCTGGCAAGTTTTACATCTAACCAGCCCTGGGGTCTGACTGAAATATTTGGGAGTTTCATACCCTGACATCATGTGTTTATTTAAAGACAATGACCAATGATTATAAAGTTTTAAAGTTCATAAAATAAGTTTCCCAATTAGCACCAAACCGTTTTTTGATTGTTTTCATCCATTTGTTTTTTTTCATCCGTCCACCAGCTCTGCTGCTAGTTAAGCTTGGTGATGAGAAACAAAAAAAATAAGTGGATGGTTGATTTTGAATAAAACTTGTATTTTGTGAGCCTTGGCATTGCACAAAAATAATGAATCAGCTATGACAAAGGTTGAGACTTATCCTCTGTTTACACCTGCTGAGATGACCACACTTGTTTCAAGATATTTTTAAAAAAAACACAACGTCCATGAATAATATGAAAGTGACAATAAATGCCCTTTCTTTCACATTATGAAGAATTATGACAGACGTATCCACTCATCAGTCTGAGTTGAGTACTTTACTGCCTAAATCACTATCAAATTAAAATCAACTATGCATACAAATGTTCAATAATGTCGTTTTTTTCATAACGGATCAGTTAATATTCTCCCCATAAAAGTCAAGTTTTCTTCAGTTTATGAGGTACTTTGGAGACAATATTAACAGCAACCGCCAACATGCTTTCTGTGCGTAGCAGTCGCTGGAAATAGACGACATAATTATGACAATCAGCGTCTGATGAAAAAGTCCTCAGGGTGAATACTGTGACAGAATGGTCTTTCTACAAACAAGAGAAACCATGCCCCTAATTAAAACATTTGTCCACCATGTCATCAACTACAATGAAAGAACTTCAGTAAGGTATGCTTTTATTGGTATTTGGTCTACAAATTTGCTGATCGCAGAAGGAATGTAAAAACACCCAAAACAGTGGAGCGTGTTTTTATTACCACAAAGTCTGGAGACCCCACTAGATGAGTGAGTTAGTGAGTATGGTTTTATGCCACTTTTAGCAATATTCCAGCAATATCACGGTGGGGGACACCACAAATGGGCTTTACACATTGTACCCATGTGAGGATTCGAACCCGGGTCTTCAGTGTGACCAGCACATGCTCTAACCACGAGGCTACCCCACCGTCCCTTAGATATATCACAAATTGTATTTGTGCATGCCCTCTACAAGACATATGGTTCAGCAAATTTTGTTCTGGGTATTGGTCACCATATGCATAACATTGAATTATGATTTATATTTGTAATACCTCCTGACAATAAATCTAGTACACATGTACTGGGGGGTCAGCAATTATGTACTTAAAAATATTAAATAAATATTTTTTTTTTATGTTTTATTTTTTTTTTGTGGGGGTGGGTATCATTCACTTTGTACATGCTACTTCATAAAAATCAACATCATCACCCCCCACCCCCCCAAGTAATCATACTGCTACAACTGCTTTGATCAGGCTACAATGAAAACAATTATTTTTTATTCTCCATACAATGTTTTTAGCACTGAAATGTTGTATAAAGAATAAAACAAAACTGTTATCCATAAAACATGTCATGTATTTATATAGAACAAGTTGTAGGTTTATTTTTCATGCATGACTTTGACAACAACGGATGCCTATGATGTTCAGGGCCTGAGTCGGTGTGGATCAGGGATGAGTCAATCTCACACAACTGCCGGTAATCTGAGCCAGGGGCTTTTGGGGGGAATATGTCACTTTTGATGTCAGGTTCTATAAATTGAACTATGATTCAGCAGTGACACATCCGTTATCAATATCCAGGAATCGATGGCAATTAATCCCAACACATGCTAGGACGTGACCACAGATCAGATAACTCATTATTCTGGCTTACTTTGAGAAGCATGGATACTCAGGTACCACCAAATTGTCAAGAAGGACCAATCATTAATATAAACAAAAGGTCTTTTTGAAATATTTGATTTTCATATATGGGCTTGTTATTTTATTGTAGGCAAGAGGGCTTATCAGCTAAATATTCATTACAGACAAAAGAGGTTACAACCAGTTCATGATTTTCTCTTCAAAAGGACTGTCATTCATTGCAGGCAAAGATCTTCTGATTTTTTTTATCCATATATAAGAAAATAACATTGGCATGGGTATAAAGATTTTATCTTTGAAGTGCAAAACTAATAGTGCATCAAGTTAATGATCATATTTTTATAGAAACATAATGTGTGTTTTTTCATGACCGCCATAAATTAATTCATTAATTTCTACAGATCACATGATTAGTAAAAATTAATAGATTTTTCACAAGTTGCAGAAATATTAATGATGAAGAGCTATATATAAATTTTTATGCATGTTAAGATAAAAAATACATTAGGTTTTTAATGTAATTCCAGATCAACAAGTTTAAACTTTCAAAAGAAAAACTATTTATAATTCAAGGAGGGGCCAGAAACAGTGAATGTCAACCATCATCTATTGGTTGTAAGTTGTAGCATCACACACTATTACGTCAATAGCTCACAGGTATGCAGCTAACCCTACTTCAGTGGTTAAGGACATGTTCAAGGCCCCTCCCTAGAGGTCATAGTGATTAAGATGTGGGTGTCAGTCATAATCTCTTGACATGGTATGATGTCATGTGGCTCAAGGTCAGGTAAAGTAAGGTCAAGGTTAAGGTCAAATAACTGACTATTATTCTGTTAATGTTATACTTGTGATATTGTCCATGAATATTTCAATGTTAAATTCAAGAAATACAGTAAGTCTGGATCAAATTTCAATGCAAACAAAACATCTCTGTTGACAATTATATTCATTCTTAATAATATTAATTCTTTCCAATATTGTCAACTTATCACATAATATTTACGCATGATTGGTCATCAATCAATTTTGTTTCCAAAGAATTTGTTCAGATGATATACAAGGTAATGTTTCTTTGTATAAAGGGGCGGTGGGGTAGTTTAGTGGTTAAAGCGTTGTTTCGTCACAATGAAGACCCAGGTTCGAATCCCCACATGGGTACAACGTGTGAAGCCCATTTCTGGTGTCCCCCGCCGCCGTGATGTTTCTGGAATATTGCTAAAAGCGGCGTAAAGCCAAACTCAGTCAGTCAGTCTTTGTATAAAGCTAAGTATCAAGAAGTGAATGACAATTACCTTTCAAATGAAGGTCATATGAAGGAATACAGCATGCATCATAAAGCATGGAACACGGAACAAAGACCATTAAAATGAAGACCACAGAACACGAACATTTCAAAAAGGAGCATGAAACTGAAGAGAATCACTTAGGGACTTTTCATAATTTATGGCTTGGGGTGGTGGGGTGGTGGGGTGATGATAATGATAATGATTTTAAGGGGGGATCCCCCATTTCGTTATGGGGAGGTAGGGGGTCATCCATTTTGTACATAAAAATATTTTAAAATTATGCTTAAAAAATATGGGAAGAGGGAGGGGGTTAATTGATTTTGAACATGAAATGCATGGGGCGGTCACTTTCTTTGTACATAGATTTTAGGGCTGGTCAGTCACAATGTACATGCTTCTCCATAAAAATCATCATCACCCCCCTAGCCATAAATAATGAATGGTCCCTTTTGAAAATGAAGAATACTTCATGTATTATTTAAATTTAGAGAACCAGATATAAAAATGAAGAACATTTGGCATGAAAAATCATTGAATTAAAGTCATGGAAGATGCCATAAAGGTATTTATATAATACTGAAAAATGACAGACTTACCCTATATTCGAGTTCCTCTTTCACAAACTTGGACCTGAAATCCGCAAACGCTCGCTGGAAGAATCCCTTTGGTTGAAGCAAAAACACCACCTGGATGTGTGTGGGGAAATAACTCTGAAACAAACAGTCCCTGGATCATTACGATGGATTCAGAAACAAACAGTCTTTAGTTCATCATGATGTATTCCCATACATAAAGTAACTCAGAAACGAACAGTCCTTAGCTCATCAGAAACAAACAGTCCCTGGTTGTTGTGTATGTACATACACAAAGTTGTAGATTCAGAACACAGTCACTGGAAATAGATTTTGTTTTGCCATAGAAGTAGTTTACAAAACAATTTGATTTTACAATAGATTTCGATAATCCCAAAATATACCCTAAAAATGCGTGTGTGATGACTATATAGCATAAAACACAGGCATGGAATCAATTGGTTGGTTATTTCTGTTACCATGGTAACTCTGATCTATCCATGGTTGTTGTTCATCCTCCTTGATTACTCAATACAGGAGCATTATTGATGGGTTTATAGCTCTTGAGCTGCAGTTATTGAGAGGCTTCCTAGTTTCTCATTACTCCTATCTTACATCATCAGCAGCGGCACAACAATCATCATCATCATCATCACGCCTGTTCCATCATCATCATTAACATCATTACACATCAGCAGCCAGCACTAACGACATCATCATCATTACTCCTATCTTACATTAGCAGCGGCAGCACTAACATCATCATCATCATCATCATCATCATCATCATCATCATCATCATCATCACCATCACCATCATTACGCCTGTTACATCAGCAGCCAGCACTAACGACATCATCATCATTACTCCTATCTTACATTAGCAGCGGCAGCACTAACATCATCATCATCATCATCATCATCATCACCACCATCATCATCATCATCATCATCATCATCATCATCATCATCATCATCATCATCACCATTACGCCTGTTACATCAGCAGCCAGCACTAACAACATCATCATCATTACTCCTATCTTACATTAGCAGCGGCAGCACTAACATCATCATCATCATCATCATCATCATCATCATCATCATCACCATCACCATCATTACGCCTGTTACATCAGCAGCCAGCACTAACGACATCATCATCATTACTCCTATCTTACATTAGCAGCGGCAGCACTAACATCATCATCATCATCATCACCATCCATAACATCATAGTCATTACTCCTATTACACATCAACAGCAGCAGCGGCAGCACTAACATCATCATCATCATGCAAGATTTTTAGAAAGAGAGAGCACTGACTGAGATTCTGAGAAGAATGGACTTGACTGCACTCCATCCATCTTGTCTTCGATCTATCACAAGGACGTAGCCAGATTCCACATCATTCAAGCTGAAACATAATTACACAATCTTTATTGTCTCATGAGCAAAGGTAGGTCATCACTGTTGCCATGCAATACCAATTAACCTATTTTTGCTGATAAGAATTACAACTCATCTACAATTCATCTAGAACGTAATCAAAGCTGAAATCAGTACGTCAATGTCATTATTGTTGTCTTAAGCATCACAAATAAATCCTATTTTTGATCATTATCTTCATTGTCTGTATCATTGTGTTTTCATCATCATCATCATCATCATCATCATCATCATCATCATCATTATCATCATCATCATTGTCTTTGTCAGCATAATCGTCATCACCACCATCATTATCATCATCATCGTTGTCATTGTCATTGTTGTCATCATTGTCATCATCACCACCATCATCATCATCATCATCATCATCATCATCATCATCATCATCATTTGTTTACCTCAGTTAATCTCTGTTCCATTTCTAAAGTAAGTACATGTCATCGCTGACTTGGTTGACACATGTCATTGTTTCCCAATTACATAGATTTGATGCTTGTGCTGTTATACACGGGATTGTCTGGTCAAAACAACCGACTACTGCCATATAGCTGGACTACTGCTGAGTGCGGCGTTAAACAACACACAAACCAAACCTTGATGACCTTCATTAATGAGCATAAATCATCAGAGGTGTCATCCTTTTCAGCAGTAGAAACAGCTGATCTTTCTAGACCGGCAGCCCATAGGACAAACCAGTAGCCTTGCAAAACAACACAAAATATAGCAATAGTGAGTGAGTGAGTGAGTAAGTATGGTTTAACGCCGCTCTTAGCAATATTCCAGCAATATCACGGAGGGGGACACCAGAAATGGGCTTCACACATTGTGCCCATGTGGTGAATTGAACCCTCGGGTGAAGAGTCAACGATATATCAATAGATCACTAAATCTAACACAGAGTAATTCATGCCGGAACTTACGGTGGTATATGACAAAGGTATTTCATGACTTTCCTATAGTCTTCTTCAGATACTTCAGGCAGCATCGGGCAGTCGGAGAAGGTGATGATTGGCGCTCCATTCTTAGCTTTGCCACCTGTAAACAAAATGTCTAATTCAGCTACACTTCGCATTTTGTGATTGATATCAATAAGTGCTCATCGTAGAATTTGTACATAACACTTTGACACACATTACCATCATCATTAAAAAATCCTCACTGATGTGATCACATACATTAACCATGACATATCATCATCGTCATCGTCATCATCACCATCACCATAATCATCAAGTTAATGATTTTATCATTATCACTTTATTCTCCATGTTCCCATATATTATCATCATCCTTAACACAATTATCAATGATATCGATTTGACATCAGATGAGTGGTGCTCTAAGCCTCATGATACATAGGCCACTCTTGTTTTTATTTTATATTAGACTATACATATTTCTAACTATGCCTCAAACTACGCCACAAAGGGGCGTGATGGGCGAGCTGGCTAAGTGCCAGGCTGGTGATGCAGCGAGGTTGAGGTGTCGGGATCGAGCCCACCTGTGACCGGGTGTATAAACCTTGGAGTCAACATTGTGTGCAGACTCTTTCAGTGTTGTCACAACCCCTAGTGTACAGTACACAACCCTGTGCACTTAAAAGGACCCAAGAATCCATTGGAATATGACCAGATGGTGTCCACATGAATACGTGCAAACACCTAGTTGAGGGTACAGCAACGTGCAGTAAACTTGGACAAAGTACTGTGACTATGTGTCCCAGTCCACCCAGCTGTGAATGGGTACCTCGTTAGGATGAAAAAGCCACAATAACTCAGTGCACCTAGTGGCAGCAAGAGAGTATACTCCCCAGGGAGTTGAGATTAAAAATACGATGTGCCGTTGAAATTGACATCCAATGATCGAGGGAAATAATACCAGTGCCTTGAGCATGCACTAGTTGCGTGGATATGTGCGCTATATAAATGTCCTATAATAATAATAATAACTATAGTGTTTTTTGTGGGGAAATTACACGTTAATTCCATATCAAGAGCAGGATGACTAGTAGTCTTACATCAATATTGACATTGTTTGTTCTTGAGTGTTCACAAATAGGTTGGTGAAGCCATGGGATAGTTGGTAGTTGGTTGTTGTTGTTTTCCGTGTGTGTGTGTGTGTGTGTGTTTTTTAGAATGGGGCATAGGGACAGTTGGTTGTTGTTGTTTTCTGTGTGTGTATGTGGGGTAGAAAGGGCATAGGGACAGTTGGTTGTTGTTTTCTGTGTGTGTGTGAGGGGTAGAAAGGGCTTAGGGACAGTTGGTTGTTGTTGTTTTCTCTGTGTGTGTGTGTGTGTGTGGGTAGTAGAAGGGGCATAGGGACAGTTGGTTGTTGTTTTCTCTGTGTGTGGGGTGGGGGATAGAAAGCGGCATAGGGACAGTTGGTTGTTGTTTTCTGTGGGGGTGTGGGGGGTGTAGAAAGGGGCATAGGGACAGTTGGTTGTTGTTGTTTTCTGTGTGTGGGGGTGGGTGTGTGGGGGTGTAGAAAGGGCATAGGGACAGTTGGTTGTTGTTGTTTTCTCTGTGTGTGGGGTGGGGGTGGGGGTGGGGGTGTAGAAAGGGGCATAGGGACAGTTGGTTGTTCTGTTTCTTGTTTGTTCAAAGACTTGTTGGTGAGGCTGTGGACTACTTGGTTGTTTTGATCTGTTTGTTTCCATGGTGTTTAGTGAGGCCATGAGTTACTTAATTGCTTTGTCCCCTGCTTGTTTCTGCATAAGTTGTTGGGGCTGTTGGTTACTGAGTTGTTTTGTTTCTGAGACTGTTGTAGATGAGGCTGTTCCAGTTGACTTCCTAAAAGTCCAAATATCCCAACGTGACTATACGCTCATCCAAAAGTCAAGTCCTAACACACTGACACAGAGATTCAGCACTATCAGCAGCCTCGACAGATTGACACACGATATGACAGCTAGTCATGGACATGTAACAGCTGGTGTCTATAGCACGTACATATCACACAGCTCCCATGTACATATCACATAGCTCCCATGTACATATCACACAGCTCCATGTACATATCACACAGCTCCCACGTACATATCACACAGCTCCCACGTACATATCACACAGCTCCCACATACATATACATAGCTCACACAGCTCCCATGTACATATCACACATACATATCACACAGCTCCATGTACATATCACATAGCTCCATGTACATATCACACAGCTCCATGTACATATCACACAGCTCCCATGTACATATTCACACAGCTCCGTACATATCATCCCACGTACATATCACACAGCTCCCATGTACATATCACATGTACATACACAGCATCCCATGTACATATCACACATCTCCCATGTACATATCACATCCCATGTACATATCACACAGCTCCCATGTACATACACATCACACATGTACATATCACACATCCCATGTACATATCACACAGCTCCCATGTACATGTCACACAGCTCCCATGTACATATCACACAGCTCCCATGTACATATCACACAGCTCCCATGTACATATCACACAGCTCCCATGTACATATCACACAGCTCCCACATACATATCACACAGCTCCCACGTACATATCATACAGCTCCCACGTACATATCACACAGCTCCCACGTACATATCACACAGCTCCCACGTACATATCACACAGCTCCCATGTACATATCACACATCCCATGTACATGTCACACATCCCATGTACATGTCATGCTGTTTAACCACATGTATTACCCCAGAAGGACATTGTGGAATGTGTTGTTAATTACATATACTAACACCATCGACAGCTGTAGACATTCATCGTTTCATAAAACCTGTCAAACTTGTCCTTAGTTTAGTTTAGCATTTAGCAATATTACAGCAATATCACATCAGGGGACACCAGAAATGGGCTTCACACATTGTACCCATGTGGAGAATCGAACCTGGGACTTCAGCATGACAAGCGAACGCTTTAACCACTAGGCTACCCCACCCCCCAATATGTGTTAGAATATGAACATAATTAATGTATAATTTGTGATTGAGTTAATGAATATTTCTATCTCTGCAAAGCATTATTTTTATGCTTGTAAAAGATATCATAAATGTAATGGTAATTTAATATACATGTGTTAAAAATGAATAATAATTATATAAGTGAGTGAGTGAGTTTAGTTCTATGCCCCTTTTATCAGTATTCCAGCAATATCACGATGAGGGACACCAGAAATGGGCTTCACACATTGTATCCATGTGGGGAGTCTTCAGCGTGAGTGGTTACCGCACCGCCCCCCTGACAATGTGAAGTTACTTGACAAATTAATTAAGATTACCACATATAATGGTATATGTAAAGATTGTATTTATATGCCCAGCATCAACTAGACAAGCCCAGGTTAATTTGCTGATCCAAAGCTCCTGTTAAGGTCGGAGGTAAGTATTGCTTTGAAGCAAAATCTATATACCTGGACAGAGGTTAAAATAAATATCACACTTAAACTGTACTTGTTTGATCTGGCACATCCGAATCAATACCGCCAGGATGCCTCGGTAATAAAACATGTTTTATAGACTAAAGGATAAGTCACGTCTACAGCCTATACACACATTGATATCTGTGACTTAAAAAACATCTTACTGGTGACTAAAGACAGTTTAGGTACTCAGTTTAGTTAAAGGCACAGTGTCACATATTTTCAACAATATTTTGACCTGCATTGACGTTTCAATGTAGTGTGATAGCGATGTTAGCATCTATAAAGTGAGTGAGTTTAGTTTACACCACTTTTACCAATATTCCAGCATTATCACGGCAGGGGACACCAGAAATGGGCTTCACACATTATACCCATGTGGGGAATCAAACTCACGCCTTCAGTGTGACGAGCGAATACGAGCGGCTACTCCACCACCCCTTGACAAAATGAAGGTTTTGAAGGTCTACTACTGTCCTAGACAACCAAAAGCTGTATTTTTCTAGAGTCATCAAATCCTGTTTCTGTCATTGATGAAGTGATGAAGACCTTAACCCTGCTGCTCTCAGATTCTGACCCTCATCTGTATTTGGGGGCGGTGGGGTAGCCTAATGGTTAAAGCCTTGGCTCGTCACGCCGAAGACCCAGGTTCGATTCCCTACATGGGCACAATGTGTGAAGCCCATTTCTGGTGTCCCCCGTCGTGATATTGCTGGAATATTGCTAAAAGCGACGTAAAACCCAACTCACTCACTCACTCACTCATCTGTATTTGCTAACATCTTGAATATTAAACCTCAGATACTGAACACCAAATGTTCTCCAGACACTATACATCACAACACTTCAAGTTGTCATACCATTCATTTCTCTGCCTGACACTGACTAAAAGTAGACTTAATCAATGTGGTTACTTAGCGATCGATGTGTCAGGTGGTCGGACAAAGACAGAGTTCACTTATGGATAAATACAATAAAGAATTAAAAAGATGACTTCAGCTACTGACAGACAAAATAATGAGGTTGGAGTGAGACGAAGTTACAGCCAGGTAGCTAGGGAATGTTCTTCAGACTTCCTTCCAATGAAAAAGATGCATGTCATTTTTTTCTAATGACTCTATTTTATGTAGGGTTCAACGATTGAGTTCAATTCATCGCAAATCGAATCTGACACCTTAGTTTCGATTTTCGATAACCATTATCGCTATTTCAATTCGATATTTGAATACCTATCATTTTACTTCCACACAGCCAGATCAAATATTTTACTCCTTCCGAGCAGTTTTGAGCGCTGAAATAAGGTGAAACATGATTGGTTGACGCTGGGCTAATTATTCAATGACAACTGTTGTTAGTTGACATCACGATGGATTTCACTCTAAAAAAGCCGACTCTCAGGTTTAAATGAAATCTGATGTTTTTTACTCATATGAAGGAACGAATAAAAAATAATAAAATCAAGGTCTGGGTGAATCATTGCAGCTCTAATTATATAGCTAGCCTGTCTTAAAGTCGCTGAGCTATATTATGTTCCTGTTGCTCCTGGACTTCAGTTATGTTTTCGCCCTAGGTGAAGCAAGTCTAGATTTTGAATCTTACAACTCATGGGTTTAGTTTTACAATATAAATGGACCTGTGAAGATCCGGGTTAGAACTGATCTTCAGTAACCCATGCTTGATGTAAGAGGCGACTAATAGGATCGGGTGGTCAGGCTCACTGACTTGGTTGACACATGTCATCGGTTCCAAAATGCAGAGACAGAGGCTCAATCTGTTAATCACTGGATGGTCTGGTCCAGACTCAACTATTTACAGATTTCTGTCATATAGCTGAAATATTGATGAGTGCTCCATTATCCAACATACAAACAATTTTAACATAACTTGTTTCCGGCAAAATTATGTACCTTCCAAGGCTAAGTGATAGTCTACATAACTGAGGTGGATTGAGGCTTCAAGACATTTGCAAGAAGGGGAATTCTGGAATGAAAGGAAGGTTCCTTTCCACAAACTGAGTGAGTGAGTTTAGTTTTACGCCACACTCAGCAATATTCCAGCTATATGGAGGCAGTCAGCAATATCACAGCAGGGAACACCACAAATGTAGTCTGGACCAGACAATCCAGTGATCAACAGCATGAGCATCGATCTGCACAACTGGGAACCGATAACATGTGTCAACCAAGTCAGCGAGCCTGACCACCCAATCCCATTAAGCACCTCTTACGACAAGCATGTTTTACTGTAGATCAATTCTAACCCGGATCTTCACACGTCTACAACAAAGTGATCATTGCACAAAGATTGTCATAAGTCTTTGTTCAAGCATTGGAGCTAAGATCACCATAGTGCTGATCGTTTTGAGGAATTAAACCCTGGGCCTAGATTTTCGAAGCTCTCTTAGCGCTAAGATAGTCGTAAGTTAATGTTAATGTATGGCACTTACGATTATCTTAGCGCTAAGAGAGCTTCAAAAATCTAGGCCCTGAAATGTAAATCAATGCTGATTCTCAGATGCTTTTGAGGGAGATGCAGGCAGGTGGGATTATGGTCTAGAGGGGACATGCATAGCAGTCATAAAATTTATTAGGCTCATGCTGGGATTCGAACCATGGATCTTCTGATCTAAAGCTGGACGCCTTGTCCACATGACTAAATAGGTTAAACCCATCATCAAGCTAAGTAAGGATGGCATCTATGGGATGACTCCACACACTGTCAAACAAGGAATGGACACCACACCTAACTAGGACACCTTGGGTGTTAAGTTATCATGCCTTTTCACACTTTTGTATATTGGCTTGCCCTCTTCTTCAAAATGATTAGCTTCTGGGGAGTTGAAATGGCAGTATGTGGCAGAGGGGAGTTTGGGAGACGTCATGAGTGAGTGAGTGAGTTCAGTTTTACTCTGATTTTAGCATTATTCCAGCAATATCACAGCAGGGAACACCACAAATGGGCTTCGCACATTGTACAGATGTGAGGAATCGAACCCGGTTTTCTGCATGAAAAGCGAATGCTTTAACCACTGGGCTACCCAATGCCCTGGGTGATTTCAGGAAGAAAGTTGAGATAAACATGGAAAGACATTGAATAGGTTATCAGGTGTGGATTGTGGAAGATGGATTAGAACTTGATCCGGAAGTACATCCTCTATATTTCAAGGGCTTGCTTTTCAGAAACCTACTCTGATCCCTTGTTCTCGTGATCTCAAATTATCTGCCCTTGATTTTCATAACATTTTATAAACCTATCATTATTAAATGTCATGGTAAGGAAAAAGGAGATGCGCAAGGAAAGACTTTCCTTTGCCAGTTTTAATCGACATGAATACATCCTTTCCACTGGAGAGATTTTGAGGCTATCTTTTGAGTGTCAGTTTTTCGATGTTTAATTTCTCGCAAATCAAATCCAGCACTGAGGCTGGTTTGCATTCTGATTAGTCCGTTAGACTGAGCAAGTAAAATTAAAACACCAACTGAAAATCAAGGGCAGGTAATTTCAGACAGTGAGAACCAAAGAAATGGGTTCTAAGCAGTGTGCGAAATAGTTTCCAAATTTTGCTAGCCAGTCGGGTTAGCTATGCCTGAAAGTTACTAGCCCACAAAATTATTCACTAGCACGAAATGTGAATAGAGACATGGCTTTCATCATTAAGCTGCAACTATGATGAACATTTATCAGGGCATCATCGGGCATGATTTGAAAATGTATCATAACTTAAATCATTTCACACACTGGTTCAGAGGTTTTAAATCAGTTTACTGAACCACATGCCCAGGATGTACGGAACATGGAGGGAGAATGACTATTAAAGACCAGGCGCTCTAAGTGGATGGAGATATTTGTTGAAAGGAAGGGATTGAATTCCCTATGATTGAATAATCAACCACCAGTATGTCAACAGGAACTAAAAGGGAGACAACTCAGTATAAAATCCTCACCTGACAGGAGAGCGAACCTGGACTGTAAAAGTTGTGCGACGTCCAGGACGCTGTAGTGACAGACGGACTCATCCATCGCATTACCTGGAACACAATTACTCATCAGTTAACACAGATGACACAAGTAAACAAATTCAAAGCAAATATAAATATTTCTTCTTTCACCATATAAATACAGACATGACCAAAGGGAGTAATAAAAATACAAAACTGCAACTTTCTTAGATACATATCAAATTGCATGAGCAAAATATTAGTATAATTCACAAAAAGATTTTCTGTGTATCTCATGGTATTTATGACGACTGTATTTGCATATTTCGATTTAAAAAAAAACATGCTCCAGTTTTTTAATTCATTAAAATGCTATCATATGACTGCATTAAGTCTGTTTTCAGTCTTCCTATTTTACATCCAGTGAATACAACTGTTCACATTTTCACTGATTTGACAACCACAACTTAAAGTTTGAAGGAGTCTTAAAATATCTTGATGTCATATGAAGGAATAAAGCATCCATATCCCTTCATAGCTATATGGCTGAAATGACGGTGATGCGACGTTGAAATTTTAATTTTAAATCACTTTATCTCTCCTCTCTCAAACACATGTCAGGAATGCCGATAAGAATGCTGTCATTCGGCAATCTTGACATGTTTCCAATTTTCCACAAGTTTTACAATATTTTGCAAATCATTAACTTTTTCATTTCCACCAAAGTCACAGGAAACTACCCCAAACTAAGTCTAATGAAGGATGAAACGCTTCTTGAAAATCAGCCTACAACTTTCCTGAAGACTCATTAACAGAATTCAGGTTTTGCCTACGACATGAAGGTCTCTATAGATTAGATGTAAAATGTTATAGTTTCATGCACAAAGCTCATAAAACAGCTGGTAGGCAATCAATTTTTGTGGGTATTGTGATATTTTCTTACACAATAATTCAGTATTTATCAAAGGTCTTTCCTTGGTGTTTCGTTAGTATATTTGGACAGTTTATCAATATATTGGGTTCACATTAAACATTTTGGAGAAAATGTGAATCCATATATTTTTTAAAGCTTTAAGGGAGGAGGGTACTAAAAGGCATGCTACTAGTCAGCAAACGTCCTAAAGCCCTTTTCCTTCCATGAGACAGCTAATTACCTTCAGCTTCGACTTTTTCTTTGTTATAAAAAAACATTGTCTAAAGCTATTTTCAGTCTTAATCCATCACCTAACCATGCAAAAATCGACTTCAAGTTCAATAAAGTCAGCTCTTCCTTGTTTAAATAATAATAACAATGTGGGTATTTATATAGCACTACATCCAGGTACTAATACCTGCTCATGGCGCTACAATACTATAGGAGAAAAAAAATAGTTAAAACTGTTTATAGAGAGACAATTGAACATAGAAAGTCTAGTAATAGGCAAGACGAAAAAAGTGGGTTTTTAGAGATGATTTAAATGTGTCCAAAGATTCAGCATTCTTGATGTGAGTGGGCAAGTTGTTCCAGAGACTGGTGGCTGAATGTTGGAATGATCTTTTCCCATGGGACGAGAGTCAAACTTTAGGAATGACAAGTAGCTGGTGATTCTGGGATCGTAATGGTCGGGTTGGGATGTACTGACACAGAAGACTGGAGAGGTATTCAGGTGTTTGTCTATGTAGAGCTTTGAAAGTGATACATAGAATTTTGAAGTCAATCCGGAATTTGATAGGCAACCAGTGAAGAGACATCAGTGAAGGTGTGATATGATCTTTCTTGGACTTGAGGCAGATGATGCGAGCTGCTGTCAGTTCTGTAATTTTTTAAGTTTCTGAAGTTGAGTTGAACTGATGCCAAAGTGCAGACTGTTGCAATAGTCGAGTCGAGTATAATGGATCGAACCAAAGAATGAGCACATTCTGTTGTGATGAGATTTCTAATGAAGCTGATGGTTCGCAGATAATAGTGACAGTTCTTATAAAGATGGTTGACTTGCGATTCCAAAGACAAACTGGCATCAAGATATACTCCAAGATCCTTAGTGACAGGGGAAGGTTGCATGTGAGATGTTGAAATCTTCACATTGCAGATGGAGGTTTTCTGCAGCTGTTTGGAATTTCCAAGCACGAGCAACTCCGTTTTGTCATCATTCAGTTGGTGTTTCCTTGTGTTCATCCAGGTCTTTATATCAGAAACGCAACTGTCTATGAGCTGTAGATCAGTTACTGGCGATTACAGATTAAGAATCCTGGTAACCTGATTGTCATCAGCATAGGCATAGTGCCCACAGTCATGAGAGTCTAAAGTCACGGTCTTCACTAAAAGTAGCTTTCAATGCCCGAAACAACCTTTTAACAATGCCAACATTGCCTGACATTTGTAGATGCTTAACATGTATAAACTTGCACAGCCTGTTTGTGTGTGTGTTAAAACATTTGTTTTATGGCTAAGAGTTGCTTCCAAATTATCTTTCAACTCAATTACTGCAGCTTGTAGAATAGTCAGGACCTGGCAAGCTACAGAGGTTGACATTGTGAACATCATCAACTAGTGCACTCCACATGAAGACCAACAATGTCCACTTTGTGTTTCAAACGCTGTGGGACACGAGTTTGATTACTTGTTGAGATGTGAACTTTTTCTCCAACAGCAACAATACTCTCTGAATGCTAAATACTTAGAATTTCCAAATTTGTTCATCTTTAAGAAATTCTTGTCTACGTTACCAGCATAAGTGACCTTAAAGGCATTTCTAAACTACTGCACCATGTATTTAAAGCATTTAAAAAATGAAATATTGAATCTACGCTTATCTCATTGGCGGTTTCTAGAGAACAAAGAGTTTGAGTTTGACTTTGGGGTATGGTGACATGCAACTGAAGGTGACCACAAGGGGTGACTATTGAGGAGGAAACAACTATTGCGACCGTCTATTGCGACCAACTATTGCAATAGTTTTTCTCTCCTTGAATTGTCTTACTTGAAGTTATTGCCCAAGTGAATGTTTAGTTTATATGATAAAAAAACAAGTTGAAGTAGTTTCAGCCTCTTTCAATAACTGACAAGAAACTTGAAACCCAGATCATGTTTATTTAAGATGTAACAGGGGCAGATAACTCTAAATCAAAGTGAACGAATCTGGTACTTCCTGTATTTTGTGTTGCTCATTTATCAATGGAAGTCAGCTACTAAACTAGTCACACATACTATCGATGCATGAATAGTTTTTTCGTTTCTACTATCGATTAACTGCTATCGGAGACTCGATAATTACAATTCATTGATTCTTACAACAAGCATAAGAGACCACAGGTGTAAGTCATGAGTGAGTAAGGTTTTATGATACATTTAGCAATATGCCAGCAATATCACCCTAACGGACACCAGAAATGGGCTGCACACATTGTTCCCAGGCCTTTTGCGTGACATGTGAATGCTTTAACCACAAGGCTACCCCACCGCCGCTCACAGGTTTAAAGTAATTACATGCCTACAACAATCACTGCAGCTATAACATATTCCAAACAGTTATCTTGTGGTAATACTTCAAATTCATGAAAGGAAAGCATTCCCTTAGAGTAAACAGGTTAAACTGAAGCCATAAAATACATTTAAATTTTGTTCATCATAATACTATTAAGCTGACATGTTTCAAAGGCAAACAATTTAATTAAAATACCTATTTTGTCGAATTATTTGATAATAAGTATTTATTACAAGTTTTCATCTACTTTCCTAGAATATATTGGCTCAAATTGTTTAATAAAAGGATTTTTATAATGTTTCATCTCTACCTGTTTTTACTACTAAAATGTTTTTAAAGATCATTTAAAAAAAAATGGCTATGTGAATTCCCATGTTCACTTGTTGACATGGATCATATATGCCATCCTTCTAAATCTTCATGTATGTGAATCCCCTAAGAATGAGTACATGTACACAGAAGCCTTGCTTGAACTTTGTTGCATTTAGAACAACATGCCTATATTCCATTTTTGACAATTTATATTTTTGAACTAATAATTTACTGTGGCCTAAAAATGATGAGGAATATTATATGAAGTATATGGCTTGATGCAAAACATGCTGCACATGCTTATTACACAAGGTTTTCATTTTATTCTCATAACAACAAATTCTGCTGTACTGTGAACCAAGTTACAAGATTGGTAAAAAGCCTAAGATGTACAAGTACAAGAGGGTTTGTTGTGAAAGTTTATTGTCAGCTCTTGGACATGACAAGAGTGGCTGAAGTGAAGTGACTTTTATTTGTTCAGAACAAGCATTTTAAGCTGTGAGCTCAAGAAAGTTGATGACATGTCAGTTTCATTGACAAATCAGTTCTGATACTACGTGTCACTTGCATACATATTCATTTTTCATGTTGCAGTTTTGTTTTCATTGCATGAGATATACAAGGTTATGGAGTCAAATTCATGGTGATTATCAAATGAGAGATAGATTTATCATCCAAAACTGTGTTTAACAGGAGATATTGCTTGTGTGAGATCAGACGATATCTCCTAGGAGATATCGCTTTGAAAGTAGATTTTGTACAATGCCGTGACAATACTATGACGTCATGAACTTGATGGCGTCACAATGCTGTGACATCGCTGCACTCTTGAGACTAATGACAGTACCGTCTTCAGAGATGTATATTTTTCATTGAAAGCTAATGAAGAGTGATTTTTGATGATAAATAGAATCTCACCCTCGTGTCTTCTGATATCAAATATATCAACACTAGTTGATGAAAGTAAAAATATCCTCGGCAAGCCTTGGATATTTGTTACTTTATCAACTTCGTGGTGATTTATTGATATCAAAAAATTTTACTCGGTGAATTCTCTATATATACACCCGACATCTAGCCTTGCTTGATTACTACTGAAAGTTGTGTCCATGTATATAGTAATTCTATCTATTAAAGAGGCAAGTCCAGATAAGCAGACAGTCTAGGGATGCCAGTCTGTTAGAAGAAGATTTGTTAGAAATTATGATTTAAACTATTAATTATTGACTTAGAGTGAGTGAGTGAGTCTACCCATCACCCAACCTGTTTTGACTAGTGCCACATCCCACCAAGCGATCTGAGTGCTGCAATGAT